TTAAATTCTGCTGTCCAACAGTACCCACAGTCTCTTTTTTTTTTTTTAATTTTTTTTTTTCAACGTTTATTTATTTTGGGGACAGAGAGAGACAGAGCATGAACGGGGGAGGGGCAGAGAGAGAGGGAGACACAGAATTGGAAACAGCCTCCAGGCTCCGAGCCATCAGCCCAGAGCCTGACGCGCTCAAACTCACGGATCATGATCGCGGACGACCTGGCTGAAGTCGGACGCTTAACCGACTGCGCCACCCAGGCGCCCCACCCACAGTCTCTTAAAGGTAATAAAGTGGTATGTTTAAGAGACTCTGGAGACAAATCATATAGGTTCAAATACTGACTCTGATGTTTACCTGCTATGTAAATTTAGGCAAATAACTTATTCTCTTGCTAACCCAGTTTCCTCTTCTATAAAATGGTGATAATAAGAGTACTTACTTCAGAAAATTATAACTAAGATTAAGTTAATTAATATATAAAAAGTGCTTAGAACAATATCTAAATTGTAAACAGTAAGATGACAGAACCCATTTAGCCACTAAGAGAGAAGTGTATAACCAGGCCCACATGAAGAAAGCAGTATCTTGCACATTTTCAATCCAGCTGCTTTGGGAAGATACACATGTAATAGGAACCCCATCTCCAAACAAATGTATATATACTTATTTTATTTTTCAGTATGTTCTGACCATAGATAACATATTTTGCAGGAGCTTCTATTTTCTCATCACTTTGTTTATTGCACTGCATACCCTATTGGTATATATTCCCTTGCTTATTCCATGTTGGAAGAACTGTGATTGTGTCTTAGGGTCCACCTTTCACCAATGTGAGTCAGGGAGATCCTGACTGATCTTAACTACACATAAAGGTCCAGTGTATTCCCCTTGCCAATGACTGGTTTAGGAGTGGGCATGTGACCAGGTTATGGCCAATGAGATATTAGAAGATGTGTTGAAAGTTTCTGGGAAAAGTTTATTTTTATTTTTTTTAATGTTTATTTTTGAGAGACAGAGCACTAGTGGTGTAGGAGCAAAGAGAGAGAGGGAGACACAGAATTCAAAGCAGGCTCCAGGCTCTGAGCTGTTAGCACAGAGCCAGATGCAGGGCTTGAACTCATAAACCAGGAGATCATGCCCTGAGACGAAGTTGGATGTTTAACCAACTGAACCACCCAGTCGCCCCCGTTATTCTTTTTTTTTTTTAATTTTTCTTTTTTACATTTATTTATTTTTGAGAGACAGAGAGAGACACAGCACAAGTGGGGGAGGGGCAGAGAGAGGAGACACAGAATCCAAAGTAGGATTCAGGCTCTGAGCTGACAGCACAGAGCCCAACGCAGGGCTCAAACCCACAAACCGAGAGATCATGACCCAAGCTGAAGTCAGACGTTCAACCAACTGAGCCACCCAGGTGCCCCACCTGTTACTCTTTTATTAAGAGATTACACTTTTTCTACTGCGGGTTAATGTCCTTTCTGTCCATAATGCTTTCAGTTAAAGCAGCCACGGGATGTAAAGCCTAAGGAAAATCACTTAGATAATGGCAAGATGAAAAGATGAGCAGAATCGTAGTCCTAAATGATATTGTTGAACCACTGAAAGTCAGTTTTAGAGGCACTCTGCATTTAAAGTCATTGTCATATGAGGTAAGCCATTGTGAGTTGGGGTTTGTTGTTGCTCCTTGCTGCTGAAAGCATTTTAAATAAATGAGACAACTTTTGTGAAAGCCTATCTTTGAATACGATAGCATGAGTAAGTGTGTTTGTGTAAAATAAAAAAAAAAAAGTCATAAGGAAAATATTTCATAACAAAAACATGTATTTTTATGTTAACATTCTCTTTGATTTCTCTGAAACATTTCATTGTGGAAATTGTCCAGCATACAGCAAAACTGAAAGAATTTGACAGTGAACACTCAAGCACCATTAACATATTACTTTACTTGCTTTGTCACCTGTCTGTCCATCAATTTATCCCTCTTTCAACTTCATTTTTTGTGATTTCAGAGTAAATTGCAGACATTGGTGTTCTTCCAAGTACTTCAGACTGCGTATCATTAAGTGGAGTTCAATATTTGTTTACAGCTTTTTCCTCCCTTAAATTTACATACAATTAAAGACACAAATCTTAACTGTACGTTTGGTGAGATGCATACATCTGATAATGTAAACTCTTATGAAGATACAAAATGTTTCTATCCATTCAGAAAATTCCTTTATGCCCCTACTTAGGCCAGTTCTACCCTTACTTCCTCCCCAAGAGGCAACATTCTTTTGATTTTTTCCCACAGTCAATTAGTTTTTTTTCCCCCTAACATTTCATATAAATGGAATCATACAGTATGTACTCTTTTAGGTAAGGCTTCTCATTCATCCATGTTGTTGTATCTATCAGCATACAGATCCTGAACATGTTCTTTAAGTACACACCTATGTATTTCATTTTCTCTGGAGTGATTATAAGTCGTGTTGTGTTTTAAATTTTGTTTTCTGTATTTTTATTGTTAGTGTATAGAAACGTGATTGATACTTTAGGTGTTGCTCTTGTATCCTGAGACCTTGTTGAATTCAGTTATCAGTTCTGGGAGATATTTTATGGATTCCTTGGTTTTCTTTGTATACAATTATGTTATTTATAAATAGAGACAATTTTACTTCTGATTGTTTCCTCCTTTCTTTTTTTTTCTCTCCTTCTCTCTTTGCCTCTCTTTCCTCTTTCCCTTTCCTTGTCTGTCTATCCATCCATCCAGTCTTTTATCATTGAATATGATGTTCAGTGTACTGTTTTTATGAATACTCTTTATCAAATTGAGATAATTCTCTCTGTTCCTGAGAGTTTTTATTATGAATGAGTGTTGGGTTTCATCAGTTACCTTTTCTGTGACAACTGATGTGGTCATGTGATTTTTCTTCTGTAGGATATTGATATGGTGAAAAACATGAACTTACTATTGATACTGAATCAGCCTTGTATATTTGGAACAAATTCTACTTGGTCGTGGTGTATAACATTTTATACCTTATTGGATTCTGTTTGCTAATATGTTACTGAGATTTTTTCATCAAAACTTGTGAGAAGTATTGGTTTTAGTTTGCTGTTTTTGTACTGTCTTTGTCTAGTTTTGGTGTCATAGTAAACAGACATTATAAAATGAGTTGAGGTGTGTTTCTTCCTCTTTTATTTTTCTGGAAGACTGTGTAAAAGTGGTGTTAATTCTTTATGTATTTGGTGGAATTCTCTAGTAATGAAACCATGTGGGCCTGGACATTTATTTTTTGGGAGCTTTTTAACTAGTGGTTAAAGGGTATATAGATTGTCTATATTGCGGTTTGAAGAATTGATCCATTTCTGTAAGTTGTCAAATTTATGAGCATAAGCTTGTTTGTAGCATTTCCTTATTAACTTTTTAATGTTGCAGTATCTTTGTACGCGGTTTCTTTTAGCTCTTAGAGCGTATTTAAATTGTTGACGTAAAGTCTTTGTCTTGCTCTGAGACTGTTCTTTTTAACTTTTTATTTGCTTGTATAGGGATCACACTTTCCTGTTTCTTTGCATCCCTTGCATTTTTTGTTGAGAACTGGACATAGACATTTTGAATATGTGGCAGCTCTGAAAATCAGATATTTTCCCCTCCCTACGGTTGCTGCTTATTGTTGGTTTAGTGATTTTTCTGAAATAATTTTGTAAAGTCTGCTGTTTCTGTCATGTGTGGCCATTGAGGCCATTGTGCTCCTAACTTAATGATCAGCTAGTGCTTTGTTTGGTGGAGATTTCCTTAAATACCCGAAACCAAAAGTCAAAAACTCCCAGTTTTTACAGAAGTGCTTTCTCTCTGTGTTGGGGCATATCTTCAACACTACAGGCACTTTTTCTCTTGTGATACCTTGTGTTTATGGGGTAGGCTAATTCATGAGTATTACTACGTGATTTTAAACAAAATCAGAGAATTTTTCTAAATAACTACTTCCTGCTTGGCTTTGGGTCTTCCTTTTGTGCTGCTTCCCAGAGAGAATCTGTCTTTGCAGCCCTCCCAGCTGATCTCCCTGTTCTTTTTATTTGATGCTTGTTCTTCAGATGGTGGCTGCAGGTGGGGGAGTAGGGGAATTCTCTGATTTTATTAAGCTTCAGTTCTTAGGTTCTGCGTCTCAGAGTGAGGTCTTCACAGGGGTTCTGATCCCTCCTTTGTTTTTAATGCTGGACCTCCCACGTATTCCTGCTCCTACCCCAATGATAGAGCTGTTTTCTTATTTTCCTAGCCTATTTCCAGCTACAATGGTTTTCCACAGGTGCTCTCCTACTGTAGTTTTTATTGTCCCTCCTTCTGTAAATTAGGCTTTTTTTCCTTATGGGAGATGAGGAAGACAGGGCTGTCTAGGTGGAGTTTTCAATGGTGGCTCTTACTCCCCTTTACCAGCTGCAGAGGGTTTCCACTAGTGTTCTTAGATATAGTTATTGTCTTTCCCTTGCAGATTAAGATTCTTGCTCTGTAGGGGAAATAGGGAAGATGGGTTGTGACTGCTCTTCTCTTCCCCAGCTAGTACCACAGGGCAGAGCTTCTCAGGTTGTTGGATTCTTCCCATCCTTCCTTGTAAGCACCTGGTGGGCTTCCTGGAACAAAAACCTGATAAAAGATATAACACCTCCTTATTTCTGGGGTCCCTGGGAATTCACATTCTTAAACTAGTACACATTTTGCCTTTAGCAATTTATGAAGAGCTTGTAGCTGAATTTTCTTATCACTACTCAGTGGTTTACATCCCAGGTAAGTAAATGCTTTAGTTCTGTTCTTCCTGCAGGAGAGAGTTATCCAGAGCTTGGATTAATTGAATGATCTGGAGCCTCAGTTCTCTGATAGGCTTGTCTATTTAATTTGCAGTTTGTCCAGACGTGGGAGGATATTTTAAGTGTGGGATGATGCTCTTTTTTTATCTCTCTAGAAAGAGCTGAAATGAAAAGTTTTAAAGTCCTAATTTTCCTAGCATTTTTCTTTTTGATTTAGGAAACAGAAACTCAGTATGAAGAGCAGATTGGTAAAATTATTGTGGAGACACAAGAACTTAAATGGCAAAAGGTAAGTTTTTTAATTTTTATTTCAGATTAGTGTTTTTAACATCTATTTAAAAATGTATTCTAATCCTTAATAGCAAAATTAATTTTTAAATTTCCTAAACATATTTGGGGGATTGTGCATCATTTTAAACAAAGTCTCAAGAGAGGTGCCTGGGTGGCTCAGTCAGTTAAGCATTCGACTCTTGATCTTGGCTCAGGTCATGATCTCACAGTTTGTGGGATTGAGCCCCATGTTGGACTCTGTGCTGCCAGCTTGGAATTCTCTCTCTCTCCCTCCCTCTCAAAATTAAAAAAAAAAAAGTCTCAAGAAATTCTCATTAAAATTGTTTTAATAATATTTGAGCCTCCAGAACACTCTCATTAAAATTGTTTTAATAATATTTGAGCCTCCAGAACACTGAGAATGAAAGTTATTTTCAGGCTTTCTGATGATATTGCTAAAATCTACTATGATCTATTTAATACCCGAGAAACACATGTGTTATAGAGGAGTCAAAATGTTTTTTAAGAAAACCTCAGAATAGTACTTTATTTTCACAGGCTGTCGTTACATGCTAAATATTAAATATTAAATATTAAAAAACAGTATCAAATCTAATTCTCTTTTAGCCTATCTATATAGAAGCAGTTTTGATAGTGCTTCTCATGTGTTTCCACCAAAGTAATCTTAATAGCTAAAAATTGAAATCTTAATTTTGATGGCCCCCTCTTTTCACTGTTTGGCAATATTGAAACAGGAATTTAGAGGTAGCATATCAGAATCAGAATTCAACTGACAGAGGATAGCTCAAATTGGAAATGATGGGAATTTGAAACCGGACAGACCCACAGGTGTGTAGAATTTGGGAGTAAAACTAGAGTTCGATTTTATAAGGCACAGGTCTGAAACCTGTCTGTGGAGAGAAAAAAACAGATAAACATCAAATACAAACAAACTCCATGCTGATTTCAAAATGTAAAGTCATATCTTGTTTTTGGGTAGAGAGAGTCAACAATATAAAGTTATCCAAGTCCTTAAGTTAGTAGGTTTAATACAATCCAATTTAAACATGCAAGAGTGTATTTGTGGTAGTTAAGTTGATTCTAAGGTTTATGTGGGAATAAACATATAGGAGTGTCTGGGAAGTTTTTAAAAGAGAACAGGATGAAGTAGCTACGCTAGATTCTTAAATATATTATTATAAACTATAATAATAATTAAAGGAGCTTGGTGCTACTTTAATTGTCTACATGGATAGATATTACTTGGCTACTTTAATTGTGTACTTGGATAGGTATTCCTTGGAACATAATAGAATCTCAGAATAGATCCAGATCATAAGATAAATTAGTGACTGATAAAGGTGGCATTGCAAATTAGTGAGGGGAAAATAGATAATTCAAGAAATGGTATTAGAACTGCTTTTTTCTGAAGAAAAATAAAGCCAAATTCCTACCTTACTTTACAAAGTTGTAGAAAATAGGAACTTTCATATATATATTCTTGTTGGCAGTATAAATTAGAAATGCCTGAGTGGTTCAGTCAGTTCAGCATCCAACTCGATTTCAGCCAATCATCATGGTCTCACAGTTAGTTGGTTTGAGCCCCTGCTGTGAGCATGGGGGGGGGGGTGAGGGGAGGGCTGGGGGGGCTGCCTGGGAACTTCTCTTACCTTCTCTCTCTCTTCCAACCCCACTTGCGCTCTCTCTCTCTCTCAAAAATAATAAAAAAAGAAGTTCCTTGTTGTATTCCTAATAAAATAAAACTATTTTTATTAGAACTCATTGCAGTGAGAACATTACCTTGACAGTCTTAGTATGTCTCAAAAGGGGTAAGTCAGAATTGGGATATATAACAGGTTATTGGGGTGTAGGCTCAAGTGGCTTCAGGAAGATCTTTTTCTCCCAATATTTTTTATTGTGGTAAAATACACATAAAATTTGCCATCTTAACCATTTGGGGGTATACAGTTTAGTGGTATTAAATATATTTTTAATGTCCTGCCATCATCACCATTCATCTACAGATGACTCTTTTTACTTTGTAAAACTGAAACTCTATACTCATTCATTAAACTCCCCATCCTTCACTTCTACCCAGTTCCTGGCAAACACCATTATACTCTGTATGATTTTGACTATTCTAAGTTTCTTAAATAAGTGAAATCATACAATATTTATCTTTTTGTGACTGGCTTATTTCACTTAGCATTAATGTCCTCAAGGTTCATCCATGTTGTAGTATATGTCAGAATTTTCTTCCTTTTTTTTTTTTTTTAATTTATTTATTTTGGGAGAGAGAGGGAGCACAAGCACACAGGAGGGGAAGAGAGAGTGAGAAAGAGAGAGAGAGAGAGAATGAGAATGAAAATGAGAATGAGAATGAATCCCAAGCAAGCTCAGCACTGACAGTATGGCGCTCAAACCCAAGAACTGTGAGATCATGACCTGAGCTGAACCTAAGAGTCAGATGCTTAGCCAGCTGAGCCACCCAGGTGCCCCAGAATTTTCTTCCTTTTTAAGGCGGAAATAATATTCCATTGTATGTATATGCCACATTTTGCCTATCCATTCTTCCATAGATGAACACTTGGTTTGTTTTCATGTTTTAGCTTTTGTGAATAATGCTGTTATGAACATGGATACAGAAATATTTGTTTGAGTCCCTACTTTAATTTCTTTTGGGTATATACTATGAAGTAGAATTGTTGGATCATATGGCAATAATATTTCTAGTTTTTTCAGGACCATCCATAATGTTTTCCACAGCAGCTGTACCATTTTAAATTCTCACAATTATGCCCAGCGGTTCTAATTCCTCCCATTCTTGCCAACACTTGTTGTTTCCTGCGTTTTGGTAATAGCCATCCTGATGGGTATGAGGTAGTATATTATTATGGTTTTGCTTTGCATTTCCTTAATAATTAGTGATGTTGAGCATATTTTCATGTGCTTTTGGCCATTCACATATTTTCTTTGAAGAAAGTCTATTCTTGTCTTTTGCCCATTTTGAATAAGGTTTGTTTTTTGTTGTTACATTCTAGGAGTTCTCTATATATTTTGAATATTAATATCTTATCAGAAATATGATTTGTACATCCTTTCTTCCATGGGTTGCCTTTTTACTTTGTTAATAGTATCTTTTTTTTTTTTAATTTTTTTTTTCAACGTTTATTTTATTATTTTTGGGACAGAGAGAGACAGAGCATGAACGGGGGAGGGGCAGAGAGAGAGGGAGACACAGAATCGGAAACACGCTCCAAGCTCTGAGCCATCAGCCCAGAGCCTGACGCGGGGCTCGAACTCACGGACTGCGAGATCGTGACCTGGCTGAGTTGGACGCTTAACCGACTGCGCCACCCAGGCGCCCCTTACTTTGTTAATAGTATCTTTTGATGCACAAGATTTTAAATTTTTCATGGAGTCCAATTTGTCTTTTTTGTGTGTGTTGCTTGTGCCTTTGGTATCATGTCCAAAAGATTTTGCCCTATGTTTTTTTCTAAGAGTTTTATGGTGTTAGGTCTTACATTTAGGTTTTTGATCCATTTTGAGTTAATTTTTATGTGCAGTGTTAGGTAAGGGTCCAACTCCATTCTTTCACATGTGTATATCCAGTTTTCCCAGCCCCATTGTCCTTTCCAAGACTGAATAGTCATTTAACCATGTACATAAGGATTTATCTGTGGGCTCTTTATTCTCTTCTGTTGGTGGATGTGTCTGTCATTATGCCAGTACCACACTGTTTTGATTACTTGAGAATCCTAGAAAGTTTTAAAATCAGGAAGTTTGAGTCCCCCAGCTTTATTCTTTTCTGAGATTGACTATTTGGGGTTCCTTGAGATTTCATATGAATTTTAGATGGATTTTTCCATTTCTGCAAACAATGTCATTTGGACTTTGGTAGGGGTTGCACTGAATCTGTAGATAACTTTGGGTAGTATTGACATCTTCACAGTATGAAGTTTTCTAATCCATGAGCATAGGATTTGTTTCCATATATTTGTGTCTTCTTTAGTTTCTTTCAGCAGTGTTTTGTAGCTTTCATTTTATAGATCTTTTATCTCTTTGGTTAATTCCTAAGAGGTTTTTTTGTTTGTTTTTTGGTGCTATTGTAAATGGAATTATTTTCTTAATTTTGTTTTCAGCTCACTTATTGTTAGTATATAGAAATATAACTGATTTCTGTGTAACTTTGTCTCTTGGTAGGTTTTGCTAGTTTGCTAAACCCATTTATTCTAGCATTTCTTTTTGTGGAATCTTTAGGGTTTTCTATGTTTAAGATCATATCATCAGCAAACAGATAATTTTAATTTTTCCTTTCCAATTTGGATGTCTTTTATTTCTTTTTCTTGCCTCATTGCTTTGGCTAGGACTTACAGTACTGTGTTGAACATAGTTGTGAAAGCAGGCATCCTTGCCTTGTTCCTGATCTTAAAGGAAAAGCTCTCAGTCTTTCACCATTGAGTATGATGTTTGCTATGGGTTTTTCATATGTAGCTTATGTTGAGGTCATTACCTTCTGTTCGTAGTTTGTTGACTGTTTTTTTCATGAAAGGGTGTTCAGTTTTGTGATGGTCATGTGCTACCCCCTTCATTCTGTTAATGTAGTGTGTATTACATTGATTGATTTTCATATGTTGAACCATCCTTGTATCCCATGGATAAGTCACTTGGTCATGGTGTATGATCCTTTTAATATGCTGCTGAATTTGTTTTGCTAGTGTTTTGTTGAGAATTTTTGCATCAGTGTTCATCAGGGATATTGGTCTGTATTATTCTTGATGTGTTTTCATCTTGCTTTGGTATCAAGGTAAGACTGGTCTCAAAGCATGAGTTAGGAAGTGTTCCCTCCTATTCAAATTTTGGAAAAGTTAGAGAATTCCTGTTAGTTCTTTTTAAAATGTTTGATAGAATTCACTGTGAAGCTATTAAGTACAGAACTTTTATTTCTTGGGATATTTTTGATGACTGAGTCACTCTCCATGCTAGTTAAAGGCCTATACAGATTTTTTCTTTGTTATT